TTTTGTTGGATAGTTTAGGTGAGTATGGAATTTTTCTTCCAGAACTTGAGTATGCCAACAAATTCCTTCTGGCCTTCATGGCTTTTGATGAGAAATCAGCTGTTAAACCTTATTGAGGATTCCTTGTGCATGATGAGTCACTTTTCTCTTGCCTCTTTCAAGATTCTCTTTTTGTTTTGTCTTTTGACAGTTTGATTATGATGTGTGTAAGTGTGGATCTCTTTGTGTTCATCCTGTTTGGAATTTGTTGAGCTTCTTGGATATGTAGACTAGTCTTTCAGTCAAAGTGGGTGATTTCAGGCCATTGTTTCTCCAGATATTATTTCTGCCTCCGCCCATGCCCCACCTCTTTTTGTGATTCCTGTTATTTGTATATTGTTATTCTTGATGGTGTCCCACAGGTCTCCTAGGCTCTTTTCATTTTTATTCTTTTTTTTTTTTCCTGCTCACATTGCATAATCCCAATCAATTTATCTTTAAATTCATTAGTTTTTCTTCCACCTTCTCAGATCTGCTCTTGAACTTTTATTGAAATTTTCATTTCAGTTATTGTACTTTTCAACTCCAGAATTTCTATTTGGTTATATTTTTAAAAGTAATTTCTATCTCTTTCTTGACAATATCTATTTGGTGAGGCATTGTTTTCATACTTTCCATTCATTTTTTTAAGACATAGTTTTCTTTGAACTTATTTTAAACAGCTGATTTAGTGTTTGTCTAGTAAGTTTGATGTCTGGGCTTCCTCAGGGTTACTTTTTTTTTTTTCCTTAGAGAGAGAGAGAGAGACAAGTATGTGCACATGCAATGGAGGTGGGGCAGAGAAAGAATCCGAAGCAGGTTCCAGGTTCTGAGCTGTCAGCACAGAGCCCGACACATGGCTTGAACTCATGAGCTGTGAGATCATGACCTGATCTGAAGTCAGATGCTCAACCGACTGAGTGCCCCTTTTTGTTTTATGTGTGATCACTCAAGTCTCTGCTTGGTTAACTTAGTGGTCAGTCAATGATTGGACAGGGGTTTCATTAAATCACTGGAACCAATGAGTCTCTTAGTTTTTGCTAAGGGGATATATGTTTATATTCTTCTGAGATTATTTTTGAGTCACTTGCTGACATGCAGGACACCATAGGCTACCAACTATTGTGGATCACTGAAGATAAACAAGAGCAACTGCACAGTCTTCAGCAGCTCCCACATTCTCAAATCTGGTGGGGAATCATTGCAGCATAAATGGAGGCAGCTATCTTAGGCTTTCTCCTCTCTGCACAGTTAGTCCCTTATGGCTACTGTCCTGGTCTTTGGTGGTTGTTCCCCACTGGAGTCTCCCTTTGTTTTATGCAGTATAGTTTCTAATGCCCATTCCTCTGCCCCTCAGTTCAAATTCAGGCAAAAGATTCCCTACTGCTTCCCAGTCCTGAATCCTGCTTCATTACCAGCCCTACCTCAGGCCAAACTTTAATCCTTATTCCCACTCCTACTACCTTCTTCTCCACCCCAGATTAGGGTATCTGGAGTATCCTTTCATAGGACCCAGTATGAGGGACAATATCTCACCCCAACTGAAATAGAATACCTGTTACAGAAGTAGTTTGAAAATGTGTGAGTTTTAACCTTCTTCACTACAGTCTGGCCTCCCAGTCCTATGTGCCAGTTTCTATTCTTCCTAGAGAATGTCCTGTAAGTAATAATACTTGGAACCAGCTAAAGCACCACCTTTGAAAGAGCCCCATGTGTGTACTGGTGGGTCTTGGCTTGCAAGATCCAAGAGTCTCTGGTATTGATGCAGTCTTGTGGCAACCAATGGACAAATCTCAGCTAAGGAACAATATAAGGCTTTCACAGCCCTTTTATGAGCCAAAGCAGCAAGGATCTAAGAAAGATTGGATTGTGACACCCAGGAAGTTTTTATGGGAGGGGCCCAGTAAAGTTCCAGTTATGGAATGATCAAGGGAAGAGTCTGAGGCATAGTTTGAAGAAAGGCCCCAATTGTTACCTATCAAGGAATTCAGAAAGCTACCCCATGAAGGCTTTGGGAGCTGATTCTGCAGAGGAGATAAAGAGTGACTTGATGAGAAATGGTCAAAAAATGACTTATCAATGTGTTCAAAAGAGAACCTAGATTGGAAACAACTGGAAAATGCCTTCGTTTACTTGGACAGAAAGCTGGGGCAGGTCTATCACAGTGGTTTCATTGTGTGTCTAGGTATGTATTGCTCATGGCTTGCTGCCAATTATACACTGTCCCCTCCTGGGAAGTCTTTAAAGTCACTTGGGAACTGGAAATTTAGTACCCTCAATGAATCAGGAACACTGCCTGAATACCTCTTGGAAGCTTCCCTTCCTTGATCTAGGCATTAGATAAGCACTAGGGAGCCCAGGTTTTATAGTTTTGGGTGTGCTTACCTCACCAGGTCCTTGAATCCATATAACTGTTAAGTTAATAAAGACCCAATTATGGTTTCTTCTCTGATCCACTTTTCTCTCTCAGCCACCCGTGTTTTGGGGATAGCTAAGTCAAGGTTGCATAGCAATTTGAAAGAAGCCATTGTGCAAGTCAGAGGACAGGCTGATCACAAAAAATTCAGTTTCTACCTTGGATAGTCCTTTTCCTGCCCCCTCAGCTGAGAGCAAGGAAACCAGAGGGCCCTGAGATGTTGGTCATGGTTCACACAGGACCCCAGTCCAAGAAGAAGAGCAGACAAACTTTTGCCCATCATCATGGGCAAATCGTGGCACAATGTAACTGTATGGGGAACAAGAGAGGCAGTCCCGAGTCACTTCCAAATGATGGCAGGACATGACCCAAGGGATCCGAGCGGAGTTGTACACCAACAGACTCCATCCGTGGAGGAGCAGTGCCCCAGAGGTAGAGAACAGAGAGAAGAGTGTCTGGAAGGGATCATCGCTAAAGAGAGCATCTTGTTGGAGTTTCTATTTTAGGGAAAGGATATTGGATACTAATTTAGGGATTCCTTCAAGGGCCAGATAGTCCAGGAAGATAGTGAAGTCCAATAAGATGCCAGCTGCTAAGTCACAATCTGAAGATGTTCTGAGAGTCAATGAGCTGGGAGATGCCCAGAAGCTAAATGTCTGAGTGGTCAAAGAGCTCCAGTGATCAAGGAATGGCCCCTACCACCAAGAGTACTGGTTGCTCAAAATTCAGGATAGCCAAACCTTAAAGAATATATTGTTGTCATACAAATGAGCAAAGTAAGGTCACAGTACTGTCATTACAAAATTACACACACACACCCCCCACACTACTTTAAAAGGATTCAGAAGCTTCTCAAAGTGAGAAGACCCAGTAAAGACCCACCTCCCCAGGACCTGGCTGACTAATTTTTCCCCTACTTTCTTTACTACCTTGACTTTTATATAGGTGTCTGTGTGTGTGTGAGTAGAGGATTATACAGGCATTAAAGTACCACAAATACCTCATGCAGCCTCCAAGAAGGGAAAGGTGCAACTGCAAGTAGAGTTGCAGAGCCAGCTTCAGGGATTTCTCATTGAAATGACCCTGGCCTCACATAGCCTGGCTTCTAAGGACTCATAGGCCCATCCCAGAGAGGGCTCAGTGGAGATATGACAGCTTCCCAAGTCTTCTATGAACACACTGAGGCCAGAGGAAGGAAGCAGTCTGGCTGAGAACACCTGGATCCCAAAACTTGAGGCCTGAGGAAAGGGCCAGGATAATAATTTAGCCCCAAGTGAAGAGAAAGACAACCTATGGGACCCAAAACAAGAAAGCAAGGAATAGCAGATGCAGGATTGGGGATCTCCCACCCGGGGCCAGGAAATTAGCAGACACTCTTGTGAGCAAGAACCCTTGATTTCTTCACTGGAAGGAATAGGCTCCTCACCAAAGTACTTTCAGTAAAATGATGAGGAGCTTTTTTCCCTCACTGGTATTGTCCCAGGAGAAAATCAAGGGCAGAAGTTCCCTCTTAAAGCGTAGTTGGTGTTAGCCTCTGTATGGAGCCCAGGCCCAGGTGAAGGCAGAGATGCCTTCATGGCACTGAGGACACTGAAGCTCAGGAGGGCATGGTTCTTGTGGGCTTGATCTTAGAGAAGGATCTGGGGCTCAGGCATGGAGGAAAGTCAGCACCAGTAGAAAGTCTAGGCCCAGGCATAGCCTACAGATGGGCATTTCTGTGACTATAGGGCTCCTCCTTACCCAGTCCAAGGAAAGTAACAAATGCATCATGCAGGCCCTGAGTATCAGAGTTGTCTCAGCAGGGATAGATATTTCAGAGACAAGGACAGATATCCCCAGAAAGTTGTAAGATTTAAGGATCAGCAACAGTGCTCCTGCCTTTCAGGAAGCCTGCATCCCCAGCCAGGCCCTGTCAGCGTGGGCCAAAGATGCCAAGTACCTCAAGCCACTCTTTGCCCCAGGCTCTGTCTTTGGGGATGTATCTCTTCTAGTTAGCCAGAAAGTCTTCCCTCCATTGCCTCCCAGGAGGACAATTTTTCTCAAAAGAAAATTCCAGTCTATGTAGAGAAAATTATTAGTTCTCATGCTAGCATATCCTTCAAATATCCAACAAAGGATATTTATTCATTCTAAATAGATGTGTTTCTGCTAATAGCTGAGTGGTATCTTCTGTCTCTGTTGTGTTTGGGGTATATGTTTTAGAAATCTCACGAGCCTTGGGGAGCCTGGGTGGTTCAGTTGGTTAAGTGTCCAACTCCAGCTCAGGTCATGATCTCACCATTCATGAGTTCAAGCCCCACATCAGGCTCTGAGCCTGGACTCTGCTTCAGATTCTGTGTCTCCCTCTCTCTCCTCCCCTCCCCTTCTCACATTCTGTCTCTCAAAAATAAATAAAATTAAAAAAAAAATAGAAATCCCATGAGCCTAGGCTTAGAGGAAGGAGTCAGCTCCACCTTATATTGAAGAACCACCTGGAGTTCTCAGAGGTGACCAGGGCCCTGGAGGGAAGTTGAGTGGCACTTCACACCTGCCCCCATCCCAGGTTCATTGCTCCTGCTCAGATGCCTTATTTTTAAAATACTTTATTTTTTTTTCCATAATACTGTCATTACAAAAAAATACAAAAAAACTACTATAAAAACATTCAGGGGCTTGTCAAAGTGAGAAAACCTAAAGACCCCACCCCAGGACCTGGCTGAAGCAGTCTTCCCCTAGCTCCTTCACTACTTGACCTTTATACAATTGTGGGAGTGGGGTGGGGTCACACAGGCATTAAAGGGCTAGAAATTCCCCACACAGCCTCCATGAAGGGTAAGAAATAAGTAGCTTCACGTATCACAAAAATGGGATTTGGAAGTTTGAGGGTGGCTAGGCCCTGAGTTCAGAGGTGTGGGGAGAAACCTGTGACCCTGAATCTCTTGGTGGGGAATAGCTGTCATCTGACCCCAAAGCCCTTTCCCTTCCTGATGAAGGCTGGGGGATGGACCCTGCCCCCTACCTCTTAGCCTTAATACAGCAGGCCCTCTTCCCCTCCCTCCACCCCTGCACACTCCTGAGAGCAGCAGGGAGATCTGGGTAGTGTGGGGGGCTCTCAGGGAGGCTGCCAAGCCCCCATTCACCTTCCTGGCCCTAATGAAAAGTGTCTCGTGCTCAGTGGCCCGGTTCATGGGTTACAGACCTTCCCTTCTTAACTCTGTAGAGGCACAGATAGCTCTAGGTGAGTGCTTCGTGTGTGTGAATGTGTGTGCATTAACCTTAGACACTGTGGACCTAGGGGTGGGGCTGGGGTGGGAAAGCAGTGTCCTTTCTATCTTCTTCCTCTGCCACTGGGAGGAAGCTGGAGAGAAGGGAGAGGAGAGGTATTAGCAAAGCTGAGAGGGGTAAGAGGACATGCTATTTACAGGCATGGACAAGGAATCTCTGTATCTTCAAGTAGCACTCAGGTCACTCTCCAGCCACTGGAGTGGGAACTGGATTCGAAACTAGTGACATGAAAATTGACCCCTGGCCTGGGCTAGCTCTCCCCACCTCCCACCCACTTCCCCAAGGCAGCCCAGCTCTGAAAGGGGTCAGGGACAGGAACATTTTCCTGAAATCCAGTGGCTTTTTTTTTTTTTTTTTTTTTTTGCATTTTAGAAAAAGTTGCCAGTGTCCAGTGGACATCAAGCTGGGTGCACATTGGGTGGGTGAGTGTAGGGGGTATTGCTGTGGTAGACTCTGGGCTGGCTGGGGCAGAGCCTAGGAACAGGGTAGGTGCTGCTTAAGGATCTGTCGTGTCTGTGGTGTTAATCTGTCCGGGAAGCGAACTTTGAACTCGACAATGAGGTCTCCTCGCTGGGTGGGCACCTTGGGGAAAGGAAGGCCCTCCCCACGGAGTCTCTTCACGGTGCCTGGCTTGATGACGTCATTGCAGGGTAATGGGATCACCCGGCCATCAATAGTGGGAATGTTCACAGTGCAGCCACACAGCGCCTAGGGAAAATGAGGTAGAGAGTGAGGAAAATGGGGGGTTGAGTGGGAAGGGAGGAAAAGATTGGAGTGAGGAAAGAATGTCCCCATTATTCTCCCCTGCCCCCAACACATACACACACAATCTGACCCAGGCCCTACCTCCTTGAGGCTGATCAGGGCACTGTAGAGCACATTGGTGCCATCTCGACGGAAGTGTGCGTGGGGCTTGTCTTTGAGCACAAAGACGATGTCAGCAGGGATGTTGTCAGGTGTGGCATCACCTTCTTTGGGGAAGGTGATCTTGGTGCCTTCCTTCCAGCCACGCTTGATGACAATGTGCAGGATCTTGTCCTCGGTACGCACAGTTCGCCCATCAGGGTTGAGGCGCCGCCTTGTGATCTTCATGCGCTTGGTGGAGCCGTGGTAGATCTCCTCCAGGGACACCCGCAGCTCATGTACCACAGGTGGGTCCTGCACCTTGCGCCGAGGGTATAGTGGTTCGGGGGCCCGCCTTGGGCCCCTACTCAGCCCATTGAAGCCAAAGCGGCCAAAGGCGCCAAATGGATCCTCATCTTCATCCACATCCATGTCATCTGGGTCAAAGCCACTGAAGGGTCTAGTGGAACGGCTGCTGGCAAAGAAGATATCGAAGGGGTTGGAGCCACCAAAGAAGGAGGCAAAGGTGGCATGAGGGTCCCCGTGAAAGGTGTAGTGAAAGGAGCCACTGGAGCCACCTGATGAACCACCGCCGGTCTTCAGGCCTGGAGGGAGGAGAAGTTAGGGATAGTGTGGCTGGTCCCGGCCCCACTCCAATCTCCACCCCCTGCCCTCTAGCCCCCAGTTCATGGGCCTAGAGAAAGAAGCCACCTCTCTTCCACAGAGAGGACTGCCTAATAGAGTAAGAAAACCTCTGACAAGATTAATTTTTATTCTTAATTATATGTTTAATAATAAAGCACATCATGAGGTTCAAGAGGCTGAGTTACAATAGATAGAAAAGCTAAGTAGAAGACTTGGAGAACAGGATTTGTAGTCCTGTAGTCTCTTCCATGTACCCATGACCCAAAGATGTCTCACAAAGCCTCGAGTGGCCGGCTTGGGATCACACTACAGTCATACTTGACTCCCAAATCTTTGTTTATCTCTAAAGACACACAGAGCAAGGGAAAATCAGATAGGATTTGACTACACAGGAAGCCAGTAAGTGACCTGTCCCAAATAAGGTGGGGATACAGTCCAGGAGAAAGCCTGCTTTCATTCTGCTACTACCCACAGTTCCCCCTTTTTTTTTTTTCTGACTCCTATCCAAATGGGAAATCAAGAGGGACCCAAAAAGCAGGAAAGCTCATTAGCTTGGAGATGAGGAGCTATTTCATTAAAGTTTTTAAGAGCTTTGTTTCCACACTCAGAGCTCACACTATTGTACAACTCCAGGGGTGCCATTCACACACCGGACAGACATAGAACACAATGGGAACAGAGCTTCTTGGACTTAACACCAAGTCCTATACCCCGTACCTAATGTCAAAGCAACCAAAATGCATGAACGAGCAGGCCCACTGCAGGTAATGGCCGTAGCTGCTCTCTCTGGAGCCAGGTCCTGTCTAAGGAGCTCAGATTGTGGGAGGCAACCTTCATGGGGAGATGGTAGTGGTGGTGTTAGGGGGTGTGGGGAGGAGTTAGAGGGAAGCGGTTAACACTGAGAAATTCTCTAGAATATATAGACTCTGGGGTGGGGCCCAGGCTAGGGGAAGGGGCCCTTTTCTTTGAGGCTTTTTATCTAGAATTTCAATTGGCTGTGGATGTCTAAGCCTAAATTAAATTAGCTTCTTATTTCCTGGGACTGCAAGAACAGATTTGGGTTTCATTAGAAAGGCCAAGTGGCAGGCAGTTCAGAGACTTGTGGCAGCTGCCTCTTCATCCCTCCCCTAAGACTCAGGATCTGTTCTTTTCTTTTCTTGAGGGTCTGATTACCAGGTGAGTTTAAGAAGCCTGGCAGAGCTCAGTGAGAGAGGGATATTGGACTGATAACAACAGGAGGGGGTAATTTCTCTGTAGGGACTCCTGTTGTGTCACCACCACCCCCTTTTTCATGCTGGGAGCAACTTGTCCCTAGCCAGGGCTGTGCACAAAGTGTGTGTGCACAAGTCTTCTGGCTGGCTGTTGGGGAAGGGGCAGGGCAGACAGAAATATAACCCACATTTTCAAGGCCGCTTGTCCTTCCCCAGGCCCTGGGTTTCTCCTTAAGGTTGTGCTGTATTCTTAGGAGACCTCCTGGGATGTAGATTGACATTAGGACCCAGTGTCTGGGTTTAGAGGCTGAACTTTGTCCTTCACTTGGGCTTGGTCATGCAGGAGGGATGAAGTTTCTGGGTAGCTCTCCAGCTAACAAAGGTGAGGCCAAGTGGAGAAAAGAGTGCAATTCCTAGACAGGTCACATGGGGGCATGGTATCTGCACTGCTTCCCTCTTCCCAGCCCTACTGTTCCCACCCCTCCATCCCAGAGAGACAAATTTCTTAGCTGAGAGAATACCAAAGATTCTAGCAGATGCCTGTGAATCTGGGAGTTGGCAATCTAGTAGGTGAGCAGGGAAGACCTGAAGGAATTAGTGCATGGAGAATAAGAAGAGGGGTTTGGGAGGACTGGGGTGTGCAGAGGATAGGGGCATGGGATACAAAGCAAGGAGGAGAGGAAAAGAACATTCTTTTGAGCACCTATCTACTCTGTAGCAGGTATGCACATATCATCAGACTATCTAATTTTGTGGCTAGAGTGGGGAGAGGGAGGAGGAGAATGTGGAAGAAAGGTAGATGCTGTTGGGCAGGAAGGGCAGTTCCTCTTAGGAAGGAGAGTCCTCAGCTGTGACAATGTCTCTTAATATAGCCTGACAGGTGCCTGTGGCTGGCGGGTGGCAGGCGGCCCTGAGGGGCAGGCCCAGAATTAGCAGCTACATCATGCCTGTGGGATGTACTGGGAGGGGCCACCCTCTCAGAGGCTTTATTTGGGCCTTTCCTGCCACCCTGTGCCTGGCCACCAGCTACGTCAGGGAGGGGGCAAGATGCCAGCAGCAGTTCCCCTTCCATCCTTGGATCCCTGCCACTTCCTCAGGGAGGCAAAGCTCCCTCTCTGTCCTGCTGGCCTGACGTGGCAGGGAAGGAGAGAATCATCTCTCTATATCAGAGCTCCAGTGGTTAATTCCCGGGCTGCTTAAGGGCCAAACTTTTATGCTGATGAATGTAAATGCTCTCTCCTCAGAGAGCCAAGGCACACATGCCTTTTCCCTAACCTTCCCTAGCAGCCAATGAAGCAGCAGGGACTTCAGGCAGGACTAATAAGGCTGGGAGGGAAAAAAGGGAGGGGGAAAGCCTCTGGTTCGGACTTCAGACGTCCCTAGGGCCTGAATTTGAGGAGGGAGAGGGGCAGAGAGAGGCAGGGAGAACTATGTAAGCCAAGGCTGGGGAGTGGTGGTCTCTACTCTCTTCTGGGTGTCCGTGCGGAGAACACTTGCCTCCATCACCCCTCCTCAGCCTCCAGTTCCCTGCTACAAGAACTGGGTCACACAGCATCCCACACAAGGACAGGGGGCCAGCGTCAGCCTGGAGCACTGCTCTCTTACCTTCCTCCCCATACTGGTCATACAGGCCTCGTTTCTTAGGGTCACTCAGCACGTCGTAGGCCTCTGCAATCTCCTTAAACTTCTCCTCAGCATTGGGTTCTTTGTTCTTGTCTGGGTGGTACTTCAAGGCCATCTTCCGGTAGGCTTTCTTGATCTCATCCTCGTTGGCTCCCGATGGGATCCCAAGAATCTTGTAATAATCCTTTCCCATCACAGCCACTGGACCGGCACTTGTCTCCTTGTTTCTGAAAGAAACCCAGGGCCAGTCCTTGAAGCTCCTATTCCCTTTTGACCCAGCCCTGCTCCTGACGATCCTGCAATCCCTAAGTGACTCACTGTGTGACTTTCAGCAGGTCATGCCTGTTCTGTAGGCCCCTGTCTCCCCATCAGTAAAATGAAAGGTTTGGACTAGATGGTCTCTTTCAGCTCTGACATTCTAGGATTCTGTGATTCTTTCCTCAGCAGCTAGATTTTCCCAGCAGGAAGCTGGGGGCTGTGGCCTATTAGGGGCTCAGCTAAAGCCCAGGTCCTTGGGCTAGACTGAGGACCCCTGAGAGGCCCTGCCGTGTGAGGTGGCACCATGGACTGACAGGCCCACACACAGAAGCTGGCGAAGATCAGTGTACTGGGTGAGGTCACCTGAGCATCGTGGTCTTTTACGCCATGTCTCAGGCATGGTGCCCAGGCTAAGGGCAGCTGGGGCAGTGGCCCAGGACTAGGGACAGTCCTAGGTCTTTAGCCAGTAGTCCTGGCCAGCTAGGCTGAGTCAGGGTGTAGGTGTCTGGAGTCCTCTCTGCTATTGAAGACCCCAGGCCTCCCTGTCCCTGCTTCCCAGACTATGCTAAGCCTCACGTGTGACAGATGAGAGAATGACTCACAGCCTTTGGAAACTGCCATTTCTAGCTCTCTTATTAGCAGGGGGGGATGACACTGTCCTTCCTCCAACAAGGGCAACAGTTCCCTTTACTCATTTCCCAGTGTCTGCACACAAAATGTGTATGAAGACATGTCTGTGCCACCTAAGCACTAGTGTTAGTGAACAAAACCATCCTGGGGGTAGGGACTTTTTAAACCTTAGTTGTTAGAACACTTAGGCACTAATCACCATTTCCTTAATACCTTCCCTACCAGTCCCTCCTCACCTGCCCTGTGGTTCAGGATCTGACCCAGGGCCAGGTCCATACTCCTCTGATAGTCCCTTCTAAGCCAGACACCAGGGCTTTTTTTTTTTTTTTTTTTTTTTTTAGGGAGAACACAGGGCTCTAATTCTTTCACTCTAATCTCCCTTCACCACTGTCTCTGTGGTGGATATGAAGGGAAGGGGACTTTCCTGTAGTTGGGCTATTTGGGGAGATGGCCAGAAGCCATTCTCTAGCCCTTCAGAGGCTTGGCCAACCCCTACCAAGCCCAGAAAACCAGAGTCTTTCTAGCAATGTCCTGGGCTGGCAACCACAGCTGAAGTCTGCTTTTCTGCCTCTCACAGCTTCAGTGAGGTATACAGGGCTTCCTGGCAGGAGTGAGGGCTGTACTTAAGGCCCCAGGAAGGCAGGGACAATGGCCTTAGCTCCTGCCCCCACAGGGCCTGTTGCAGGTGGCTGAGTTGACTCATGGCTCTGGGAGTCACCTCACTGTGACGAAGAGAAGGCTCCATAAAGGCGGGTACTCCCCCTTCTCCCCCTACCAGCATGTCACGCCTGGTGGGGGAAGCTGGGGTTGGAAGAGTGAGAGAAGAGCATCTGGGGGTGGGCAGCCATTTTCGGAAGCAATGGTAAAAGCCGTCTGAGAGGGAACTGGGGGTGGTCTGCCATCTCTGCCTCAGCCCATGCCTTCTCTGCCCACCCTAGGACTGGGAAGGAACCCTAGTACACCAAGAGGATGCCCCCAGAAAACCATAGCAGCTTCTAGGCAGAGGGCAAGTGGAGCGGCTTGCCAATGCTCTCACCCTCCTCTTGCTGTCCCTGTATTACCTCTTCATGAGGCCAACTTCCTTCCTGGCACTCACCTGATAACCGTTCTGGACCTATAATTCTCTTGCCTCCACAGACACAGGGCAAGCTCTTTTGGGGACTGCCTTTTTCCTTCTCCTTTCCTCCCTCTTTCCCTCCCTCCCCGTACCCACAAGCCACGTGTTGGAATGACAAAGGAGCCCCATGGCATGGCACTGCCTTTGATGGAGAAGAATGAAGAGGATGTTAATGTTGAGGCAGGAATGAAAAATGAGAAATAGCAAGAAGGAGTGTATAGGGAGGGGAGATGGTTGATACAGAAAATGAAGTATTGGTGGAAGGGGACAAGGGATGACAAATAGAAATGGCTGAGGTGGAAAATGGGTTACCAATGGGTTGAAAGAGAGAGATGAAGAGAGTTGAAATATTGGAAGAGATATTTGTGGAAAATGGATGGATGCCTGAAGGGTTTGGTATAGGAGATGAATGATAAGGGGTACCATTCATTCAAATGTAAGGGTGAGGTAGGAGGGTCTTACATGTAATGCAGATGGGGTGAGGATGATGGTGGGCAATGAAGGGGGATGAGATGTGGAGAATTTGATGTGGTAGGGATATGAGTGCCCTTCTCCAGAGGGACTTACCGGAACTTTACAAACCCATTCAGCGTCCACGCTCGAAGTTTTAAGGGCTCCAGCTGAATTTTAAACATCAAGCTGGCTAAGAAGTCTTCTCCCCAGAAGTGTGGGAAGCTCCGGAAAGCTCCTCGGGCCTGTAGTGGGGGTGCTGCTGGGGATGGGCAGGAGAGCACTGTGCGCTTAAACATGCCCAGCCCAGCCCCTCACCTCTGATCGCTCCACCGGAGCCTGCTTGGAAAGCTGCAGCTCTGGAAGACACCTCCTCGGGTTCTCAGAGGCACTAGCCCAGCAAGGCCTGTCCGGTGCAGCAGGAGCTAGACCTGATCCCCAGGTGTGGAGAATGAAGGAATAGGGTCCGGCGGCCACCTGCTCTCAGGTGCAGCAATGTCTGAATGGCTGTACGGCAGTGTGACGGTAAGGCTGGCAGTGGAAGCGTGCTCTTGTGAGTGGCAGCGTGTGTACCTGTGCCAGGTGTGGTTGTGAGGGGCTGAGAGGCAGTGAGTTCCTCTCGCCTCTCTCTCCGGGGAGGATCCGACCCCAATCCCCAAGAACCTACTCAATGAAGTCACTGACCCGGAGTCTCCTCCCTCGCAGATAGGCGGGGAGGGGCGGGGCAGAGCAGAGCTCGGCCGGGACAAAAGGCGCGGCGAGGAACCGAGAGGAGCGGAGAGGAAGGGAGGGGAGGGGGCTCCGGCGGGGGAGGGTGGTCGGTGATGTCACCGGCGCTGACAGGCTGGGCTGGCCCAGAAACGCCTCCGCCCACGGAACCCAATCCGACCCGGCCCGACCCTCCCCCCAGCTCAGGCTCTGGCTGCCCGCTGTTAGAGGGTCGCAGACATCGAGCACTTTGCAGACCCCAGTCCCCGCACCACCACGGCAGAAGAAACGATGGGCCTTCAGTGTCCCAGCGCCCCCCGCGCGGGCGCGGGGGGGGGGGGGGGGGGGGGCGGACACCAGGACCACTGGCTTCGCGACGCCCCCGCTCCCGGGACCCCGGAGTCCTGGCTCGGTGCCCTCACCAGTGAGGAGCTGCGGGCGCCACCGCGGTCCGTCAGACAGCCGCTGCCCCCTCCCCTGGCTCCGGCTCCGCCGCCTCCACTCTGGACAGGAGTCGCCTGCCCGCCGGCCGCAGACAGCGGGCCGGGGAACCCGCCCCCACGGCTCCGCCTCCGCGCCTCCCATTGCGCGGTCTGTCCATCACTCAACTCAGCTTCCCTTGTAATTGGACAGCCTTCAGCGAGTGCCTTGGTGATAGCCGCCCATTCTCCGCCCCTGTCACCCGGCCACACGCGCACACATTCCAGGCAGTGATTGGTGTCGGTCTGATTGGTGCGCTCTGGGATCAGTCAACCACACCTCTTCGCTAGCTCGTCGTGTCATTGGTGAAAGGGACAGAGGGCGGCAACTCCACGCGCCCTTTGATTTTATTGGTTGGTCTGTGGGGCTCAGACCCGAGACTGGGGGCAACTATATTAGTCCAATCTCGGGTTTGAGAAGGTGGGACGTACTGGCCACCGCTCAAATCCCAGGAGAACCTTCTGGAACCTGTGTAATGTCAAAGGCAGCCTTAAAGGAAAACTGCTTACCAGTTGGCGGTGACTCTCGGCATTCTTTCTTTTCTTCATTTAGGAGGGTCGGGGAGCGAATAGTGTACTTTGGAAGGTGTAGTCCCTCCACCAGGGTCAAAAGGTCACCCCTTCTTACCTATCTTCCATAAGAACTGTAAACTGACCTCGACCAGACCTGATTTAGCTTTACCTTACCTTGACCCGGCACTGACCTGAGGTGACCTAACAAAACAGACCCCAGTAGGCATGCAGAATTTAAGCATGCTTCCCCTCTCTCCTTGGTAACCTGGTAGTTCTTCCCAATTTTAGCGCCTCCACGATTCCCGATTCCCGTTGTGAGTCCCCTTTTCATCCTCTGTATAATCCCCTAATACCACCTACTTTATGAGGAGCCCCTCCCCAGCAACCCCCACAATCCTCAGTAACATTCTCTCTATAATCTTTCATCTCACTTCCCTCTTGAGTTCCCAAATTGTAGCCCACCCTTTCTTTCCCCTCTTCTTGGCTGGGTATATCTCCTGTTTCCCCCCATGATCTTCTGTTTTATCGTAGCCTTAATCTGTTACGACTCCCATGATCTCCCCAATCCTGGCTCCCCCCTTAACCCTTCATCTCAGCTCCACATGATTTCCTTAACACACTCAGAATCTCCCACCTCAATACCAACCCCCTCCTTCCCCCCATTAAATCTCAGCCCTAGTGTCCCCGCTGTTCAGAGCAGGCAGGGCTGCGGAGGCGGTAGCCAGCGGAAGCCGACGCTTGAGCAGACACGGTGCCTAGCGCCCACGTCACTGTCTCCCAGGCCCATCTGTGCTACAGGGAGCGGGGGTGGGGAGGGGGTAATCCGGGGGTGAAGAGGGGAAAGGAGTTCTTGGGGGGTTTGAGGACAAAAGAAGGGCCAGGGCAGAAGCTCTCACCTCATTTTCTTTGCCATTTCCCAGAAACAGTTCGGATACCCATGAGTTCACACAATCTGGATAGAGCTGGAAACTGAGGCTTGGAGAACACCAGTACCAGAGCAGAGCAGGAGAGAGATCTAAGGGGTCCTGAGGTCAGGTCTGCATAGTCTCCATTATCTGCCTTCCTTCTAGTACTCGCCATGGCGGTCCCAGGTGTAAAGGGGTGTGAGCTGTGAAGTAAAGAAAAGAAGTGGGGTAAGAGGAGGATGGAGAAGAGGTGACATGAGGGGAATGAGAGAAGGAAGGGAAGATGGGGTGAGGGGGATGGGAAGAGGAGGGGAAGAGAGATAGGGTGGGAGGTAAGGAAGGGGGATGAGAAGGGAAGGAGTAGTGGGGAACAAAGACTAGAAGGGAGGGGAGATGGGATGATGAGGGAATGGAACAGTGTGACAAGGAGGTGGGCATGGTACAGTGAGGGGGCCCAGGACTGGTGCTGGCTCCTTAGATCTGGGGGCTCTTACTCCCCCACCTCTAGACTCATGGGGGCCTGGGCTGTGGGTGGCTCTACTTCTTATTCCAGTTCTATTTTGCCTCCTCCAGCCTTGCCTGTGCCAACACGGAGGCAGAGTTTAGTCACTGGGCCTTACCTGGTCCCTGCTGACGCTATGTTGTGGGCTTAGACCTTGGGGCGGGGTGGGGGGGGGGTTGTAGCACCTATGCCTTCAGGTGCTGATGACATGGACCCCATTGTTTGCTGGGTTCTCTATGGCCACCCTGTGTCCTGTTGCCCTAAGTATCAGGTGTGTGTTAGGAAGCCGGGTGTACCGTGTGCCATAAGTGTAAGAATGTAGGCTATGTTGACCTTGTGAGTTGACTTGCCACATCTGTGCCTCATTTCCTTCTTTGTATAGTGGGTGTAGAAAACGGGTATAGTACCTCACTGAGTTGTTGTGAAGGTTAATTAAGGTAACATATGCATCTAGTTCTGCGCTTGGTATGTAGTTAATGCTCAGCAAAGTTAACTGTTACTCTCTATATTCACAGATGTCTGGATGTGTGAGTGCATCTGTTTGATGTTTGAGTCTGATTGGGAGTTATTGTTGTATCTGTAATGTGATTTGTAAGTGAGAATATATCTGTGCAATATTTTTGTGTGGTAGTGTGCCTGATTCTGTATTATTTGCTGTGTATGTGATTTTGTGTTAGTATACATGTGTGACTAAATGACTGTGTAGGTCTGTGTCGACATGACAAACAGCTTCGTGGATGTTGACATGTTGACATCATGTCTGCCCAGTGTATGCATGAATCTGTGATCGTGTCAGTTCTGAACACTTGCATTCACCCTCCCTCCTTATGGAGACGTCATAACCCTAGGTGTCCCTCATTTTCTCACCCTGAGGGAACCGGAACCCCGGGGGCTGGGGTGGAGGTGGGTGCCACTAAGGAGGTGTTTAGACAGGAGCACATGTTCCCTCCCAGACTGTGTATGGGAGGGGAGCCTCCTATCTTGCACATATCCTGAAGACTTCAGAGGAAGTGCTCCCCCACCTAGCCCATTCTTAGTTCCCTGTCTTGTTGCCATGGCAGCCGTTGCCAGGGGCTCCCATGGTTGCTAAGATCTGGGTGTGGGAGGATGCCAGGCCCTGTTGCCAGTAGAAACAGAGAATCCGGGGGAAAGCAAGACTACCCCCACAGCTGCCAGCTCTCTGCAGTGACAGGACTGGTCCTTGGACCTCTCCTGTCCCTAGATTGTACCTATGATTTGTATGTGGTAATTCTATTGTTAGTGAGGAAGCTTTCACAGGAAGTTGGAACTGGAATACTGGGATCTACCTTCTGAAGAGACCGTGACTCTAGCATGCCCATTACCATCTTTAAGGTTGAGAGGTCCTTAGAAATTAGTGACTCCTTCATTCTGTCCCCCAACCCTTATATGTTTCCCCTGGCAATATTTTTTGTTTGAGTTCTCCTGTGCTTATTACCTGATGCTTCCATCTTGTATATGAATGCTACATTGACCCCTTGATGCCAACTGACTCCTACCTGAGGTCAGACTCTTAGCATCTCACCTGAATACATACTGCATGCTGACACTTGGACCCAGACTTCTGTTCCACACTGTCAACTTTGACTTCAGCCTGAGACACTGACTTGGTCTTAGTCCTGGACCAGACATTTCCTCAAACTCAGCCTTAGCTTAAGCCCTTCTAGACATGGATGAGCCCTTATTTTGATACAGGTACTAGAACTCAGCTGCAGATTCAGTTCTGATCCTGTATGCTGATTGAACACTGACCAGTGATCTACTCACTGGTACTCACCTGGTTTTTCTTTTTTATGTTTAGAGGGAGAGCGTGCAAGTGGGGGAGAGGGGCAGAAGGAAGGGGGGAGGAGAGAGAGAGAGAGAGAGAGAGAGAGAGAGAGAGAGAGAATCTTAAGCAGGTTCCGTGCTCAGAGCAAAGCCCTATGCAGGGCTTGATTTCACGACCCTAGGATCATGACCTGAGATGAAATCAACCATTGGATGCTCAACTGACTGAGCCACCCAGTTGCCCCTCACCTGGTTGTTCTAAACCTACACTGACCAGTACCCTAACTATTCAGAAGGGTTATTTCTTGCCTTGGGAGTGAGAGGATAGTGTTAGAAATGACCAGCAGAGGGCATGCAACATCAGGTTCTAGAGGCAAGCTTTCCAGACCTCATCCTGGAAAGGGACAGCAGGTGTATTGAGACCTTGACTCTTTTCTCTCAGGTCATGACCGAGAGTTGTAGGTACAACAGTTGGTCTATGAGGTTAACTAAAGAAATTAAGTTTCCCGACCCAGTTATTCTAATGTTCTATGGTCATATGGGTCTCTACAATCTTGAATATGCCTCCAGCTCAGCTGGACTTAGGGCTGGGCATTCACCAGAAGGTGCTTAACCATTTGTAGGCATCACAAGTCTCAAGAGGACAGGATGCCTGGGAAGTATCCCACCCCCAACTCAACAGTTTTGTCATATGCTTATACAGCTTCACTACCTTCCCTGGTATCTAGTTACCTTTTGGTGCTATTGAGGAGAAGTCTGCCTCTCCTCCACCTTTGGTCTTAGCTTTGTCCTTGAGGTCACATTGACTTCATCAGTCCCACCTGCCAGACATCAGCCATCTACATTACCTCAACCCTGTTTC